AAATGGCGTATAGCACAGTACATAGCTAGAAGTTCTCTTCCAAATGTGTTGTACTTCGTTTCTGCTAATTGAAGGCGCCTCGAGAAAAAGGTGAGTGGTTGCCACTCTCTGTTAACTAGATGTTGCAGAACTGCACCGATCGCAGTGTCTGGTGCATCAACCGAGATACTTAGCGGTGCCTTTGGATCCTGATACATTAGAAGTGTGGCATCCGCAATAGCTTTCTTTACCTGAGCAAAAGCATTTCGAGCAGACGCGTCGAATTCGATAGACTTGTTATTCCCTCGAAGAAGGTCTGTTAATGGCTGAATCAGAGAAGCACAGTTAAGAATAAATCGTCGGTAATAACTTACCAAGCCGTTAAAAGTGCGAAGACTTTTCACCGTTTGTGGCTCTGGAAAGTTCCGTGTCGCCTCGACGTTAGTAGCCGATGGGCGAATGCCCTTGCAGTCAATAGTGTGGCCCAGAGAGTCGAGTGAGTCAACGCCTACTTGACACGTTTGAATATTGATGGTAACACCATGTTGGCGTAACCTTTCAAATACCAAGTCCAAGTGTTTAAGGTGAGTTTCCTTGTCTGGAATGGCAATGAGGCAGTCGTCTAAGTATGCGTATACAAAGTCGAGACCGCGAAATACTTCATCGATGAAGCGTTGGAATGTTTGGGCCGCATTCCGGAGGCCGAATGGCATACGTAGAAATTCGAAAAGTCCGGTTGCTTTGGCGTTCACTTGCCGGTAATCACCAGTGGGTCGCCAATCGTTGCTATCCTTTATCGGTACCATATGCGGTGGGGATGCCCATGGGCTATTCGATAGTCGAATGATGCCAAAAGTTAGCATGTGGTCGAATTCATTTCTAGCAATTCTCAGTTTGTCAGGAGCCAGTCGTCGTGCTTTACATGTCACGGGCTGTCTTGAGGTTATGATGTGGTGTATAACACTGCTGGTTATGCACGGGAGATCGTTAGATGGGCAATTGAGTTCCGGATATTTGTTAACAATCGGTTGAAAAGTTGGATCAAGGATTGCTTTCATCTTAACTAGTGACAAGCTGGGGCCTACGCAGGTGATGCCTTTTATGGACAGACTAGTAGTATTGTCAATCAGTCGTTTTCAGCGGACGTCTACGAGTAAATCATGATGATTGAGTAGGTCCGTGCCAATGATGGGCATTGTGACGTCAGCGAGAAGAAAAATCCACTAAATTCACGAATTCACCCAAAGACATTACCAGTCAACGCAGGAACCCATCATCATCTTGAATCTGGATATGCCGTCTTTCCGCAAACAGGCCACAACTAGAATAAACTAAGCCGCGCAAACTGCCAACAAGGTGAAGCAGGTGGTGCCACTTCAAATAGAGGATATGCCATATAATCGAACTGGTCTTCCAATACTCCTAAGTTCACCTTGAAGTTATCGTATTCATCTGAGCTTATAACTATGAACATAATTCTGTTTAGTGTTTCCTGAGTGGTGTACAACGAAGGTTATTGTCAGTATGAAATCAAATATCTGGGCTCAGTAGTAATCTTCGTGCTTTGACCTTCCAAGGCTCCAATAGACCATGATAGCTTATGGCAGAAAGGCCAGTAGATCAAGCCTTTTCAAGGCATTTGGCATCTTTCAAATTAAAGTTCCATGTCTTCAGTAGCCTCTGAAACATTTTGTAAGATGACTCACCCGAATGGGTGGATTTGGTGACAAAAATTGCCGCACTCTGCTAAACTTGGCCATTTACTGGGAAAGAGTTTTCTGTTGTTGACTCTTCATCTTACATACATGTAAAATGGCACTACCTAAACTTTATCCTGGTGATTTCACTTGCATCCTAAGCTCAACTGAGTTCCAAATATGCGCGGAGAATCATTTGCCTGACGAGCAGGCAGTTTTGCTACATTTTTGCGTAAACATACAGGCCAAATGACAGCGCTTTCAACTTTTCTCACTGAGCAGCACAAAAGTCATATGTGATTATCAGGTACAAAGAATAAGGGTGTTCAGTTAAGAACGAAATAAAATATTACGAACATGCCAACAGGCTGTGTACATATGGTACTTGAAAAGGGAGTGAATCCATGAATCAAGGACGTATGGACTGGAAACGAACTGAGATAATCCGTCTGAATATGAGACTTCAGATCTACTGATTGAGGATAGAAGTCTTTGAGCCTATGTTAATCTTTTATAATAGGTTTCTATTCTTGCCTAAACCCTTTGTGAGTCAGCCAACTGGTGGAGCTTAGAGCACTTCTGGGAGTCGGTTCTATGAGTTCATGATTCTTTGTAAGAATCAGTACCTCACAGTGGTATTGTTCCTCCTTAATCTTCTACCTCTCTCTCCCCTGTGTCCCGACCTAGTAGGGAGAAAAAGAGAAAAGAAATCAGGTCCGCAGTCACTATTTAGAATTTTGAACAATTTAATGGGGTCTCTACTCTGCCCACGGTGTGACAGGGAGAGGAGACTCAGACCCTTCTGTCTTTCGTGTAGTAGAAAATTAGCAAAAACTCTTCCTAAAATACGACGCACATTTTAATTAAATTTCTCTAATGGAGACGCTCTGTGCACATCGCTTCCACCTGTGTAAAGTGATATTATAAGCACTATTTCATCATATATACTATCCCCCTTTGAACTTTTCCTAAAATGTTTGAGTACCTCTTAAAACAAAGAACATTTGTCTTGATGCAGTTTTGTGGTCTTGAACTCATCAGAAATGTATGTTATGAAGTGATTCTAGAGACTCAAGTAAATACTCTGCATATTGGCCACAGAGATTCAAAACTTCAGTTGCCACTGCTCGATATTGTAATGCAGTTTTTAGGCAGCGACCCATCATGACGACTAGATCTACACGAGCCTGAAATGACGGGAGAGTCAATCTCTCTAATTCGTGTAGGCTGATGCTTGTGTGTCCTATGTGCTTGGTTGTGTAATTCGCTACGTTGGAGCATGGATCCTTCGGACCAATCTGACACTTTGTTGAGATCTGGCTGTGTAAGCGTGTCATTATCCGTCTTTAGCTATATCGAAACCTTTAGTTCATCAGCTGAGAGAACCGTAGAGAATTCGGTGAGCCGAGGTGCTTTGTTGATATACATGATAAATTAGACAGGCCGAATACGGTGCCTTGTGGCAGTGCACTATGAAACGCTGTCAAGAGGCAGTTTAGAGTTGTTCGGAACTCTCTCTTAACCATAGGGAATGGCCTAATCCAATTCAGTAAACCACACTTGATTCCAAGGATTCCCAATTTCATGAGTGGTATTGCGTGAAGCACTACATGGAGGGCCTTGCTGAAGTCCATGAAGACAAAGCCGACAAGTTTCCTTTTGATTTAGTTGTTTTAACTGCAAAGCTTTCGTCGTGCTTCTGGATGGCATCTTCAGATCAGGTCTTGGTGCGAAATGTACTTATTCGAATATTCCATGAATCATATAATTAAGTCCCTTGGGAACCATTCTCGTGATAATTTGTTGATTTACGTCTCTATTAATCATTTTTATTGATTTGGATTTTGAACTTGTAATTTGATTTACTTTTCATCACGTTGGTTGAAATTTCTCTTGGCAAAATGTGTCAGCAGGCCTTAACAAAACTGTCTTAAATGTTTTCTGGATTAGTAGGAATTCGGATTTCCTAACTAGCCATGTTAGCGTCCACGTCACGTTATCCTGCTGCGGCTCACTCTTAGCATATTGGCTGCAACGATAAGTGTAATAGGTGGACTGTTTCAAAATATCGCTACGTAATGAGCATGATGGGATAGCTGGAGGGTAATGTCATCTACACAAATAGTTTACTGTATGTACAAGCTGCACTTTTCGGCATAGTATCATTCAATGAAGGCTTCACGTCTCGGAATATCGATGCAGCTATTTTCGTGTGAAGAACAGTACTATTTGACAGGTGAGTGCTATCAGTGCATGGAAATCACCTGTAAATGCAAAAAGAACCTTCTGTGGGAACAGAAGTTAGATGTGTCTTCCACCATGTGTTTGGACAGGAATTATCTTTAATTGAAAGGTCATCTCTAAGTGGATTTAATCTATATTTGCACTAACTGGCATAGTGCAAAATGGGTTGTGTGGATTCAATGTATAAAAAATATTTCATACATTTAGTTCCGTTGATAAACTTCGATAGAGAAAGAAAGACCAGATCTGTCTTCCCCCTCCTTCCTCTTTTCTACTTTGGAAGCGCATAAAAATCTCTACTTTATTATTACTGCGCCGCTGTCTGCTCAGCTGACTGCTAGGCTAACAAATGCAGATGGTTCTCATGATTGTTGCTAGGGCAATGTAGTGGACAGGGCAATAACTTGTTTTCATCACTATGGTGATGTACTGGACCTAGTGAAGTACGGGATACAATAATACACGTGTCTAATATACATACATGGGTATATTATATGTAGTGTAATATATATTTGAAGTAAATATACAAAATGACGACCAGTTTCTTGCTGTCCTTTGATTTGAATCAGCTTTATCTTTCTGTAAAGAAGTCTGTCAGGCATGAAGATTTTTCCCTCAAGCAACGCTGCGCTCTGGGCGATGGATCACGGTTTACCAGATACGCCATAACTTTCCGGATGATTCTCTCTAGTGTCTTTGCGAAAGTGCTGGCAAAACAGATACTTATGAGGCCTGAAGGAGTGCATCTGGATCTTACTTTGTGGACTGCGGTTACTATGAAGTCTTTCTAGCCGCGAGGTGACATCCCATTTAGGAGAAGTGGCAAGGAGATCGCGGTTAGTGGGCGGGCTACGTGGGCTGTTAGCTCCTTGGAGAGAGCTGGGTGAAGGTCATTGGGTCCAAATAATTCCCCTGAATCTAGTGTCTTTGAGGAACCAAATGCGATGCTGTGATTAGCGTCAACGAAATCTGACCTTTATTTATCTAATGTGGCCAGAGATGACGCTGTTGGCGGTGACGGCTTCCATATGAAAACTTTGGAGAAGTAGTCTTCAATTCCTTTCTCTTTTTCCTAGTCCTCCGTTAAGCTGCTAGAGTTAGGTACTCATAGCGACAAAAGGTATACTGTGAACTGCAGGAGTCCAATACATACAGTAATCGAATGAAGCAAGACTGATTTCTAACGTTAGTGGGCAAGTTAATGTCCAATTGAAAACTGAATTTCAAGTGCGGAGTCTGATAGTGTGCGCAACGTCGAATTTTCGGAATGGTGGATGAATATGCTACTCCAGAGGAGAAGGTATCACATCGCTTATCTCAACTACTCTTAATTTTAATTTTTAAGGCAGCTATTTGTGCCAAACTAGTTTTACTTGCTCCTCCATGTGAATTTAACGAGGTTTTAGATGGTAGGATGTCATTACATTGATATTCGTTACTGTACAGATATTCGTTCTATATCCGGTGATGATCATCAAATACAGAAAAAATTAGCTGCGTAAGGAAATTTTTCACATCTTACAGCTTTTTAGTGCTATAGCACAGTACAACAAAGATCAAATGATTCATGTCAAATTACCAGGCTGCGAGTATCCATCTCTAATTACTTCGTACGCAGACATAGGGAGTGGATATTTCATGTGCCCACGATCTCAACAATCATTCCATTTTGATCACCTCAAGCAGACAGTCAGTGATATTAAAAGTTTGGATCGTAGCAATGTTGAAAATATAGACCATGAGTTAGAGGACTGGAGACTTGCTCTGCAGGAATGTGCAACTGTTTACGTAAATGAACACTTTCCTGAGGGAGCTGTTTCAGTGTACGCCTTACGATTACACGATGGCGCACGAAGTCTTGTTTTATGTATTGAATCTCACTTCTCTAAACATCAATCGTAAGTTGTCATTATTGAATCTGTTCATTATTTTGTTTCTGTTTTTGAAATGGTTCACATAATTAAGTTATATTTTAAATTTCCTGTCGTGATCTGCTGGTGTATGTGCTTCCAAAAAACAAAACGCCTATTAGCCCTATATGCTTGTATGGAGCTGGATGGAAACACTCACGGAGGCTATGATGCTGGGTTGTAGAAGACTACATAGGTGAAATAGTATATAAATGTGTCCCTCTGACTTCATTTTTGAGATGTGCGATGTATGTGATCGCAGCATTAAATACTGGTAAGGAAAACCTTGCCTAGTTTATTCCAGTTGGTACAGAAATAATATAAAGTAAATCGCTTCCGTTTATCTCTTTTGTTACTCATTGTTTGAAAATTACAAATAGAGACTCTAGGTTTCGTTTTTTTCTTGAAGAAAATAGTTTAAATTGTAATTAAACGACTGACTTGTAGGTGACACGTCGTGCGCATTTTAAGTTTTCGATGCATACGTGGTGTCACTCGATAACGCTGTTTTCATAAATTCTGCTGGAATTACTTTCGTCGTCTAGTTGTTTTCTAAGAGCCTTATATTTCAACAGGGGTATTACTGAACGGTGACAGAGCATTCATTGTATCTGTGGGGGAACAAATAGTTAATATAATCTTGAGTGATAGGACCGTGTTCCACCTGTCACTTCTCTCATTTTTCAATATGCTTAGCACGTCAGCAATATTGATGAGTCCAGAACGAGACTAAATTAAGATAGTATAAGCCTCCAACTTAATTCAGTGGGATTCCTTGTACCAAACGTATAAGGCTCATCAAGTGAGATAGACACCGGTTAAAATGCTTGTTGACAAGTCAATCTCGCCGTTTAATAGTCAGGTATGTAGGTCAACTGAATGTAGATCCGATTTCGACTATTTGGATCAATTTGTAACGGAAATCTATTATATAGTGTCAGGCTGTGTTTAATCCTACCATCAACCCATTTCCTGTGTGTGTGTGCAGTAGTTCAGATGGTTATGTTTCTCCAAGATGTCTCGTGATGTCTCCCTCTTTTTTGGAAAAACAGAATGGTTACGTGCTAAAAGTAATACAGTGTCGCTTCACAGAATTCTGGTGTTTACTGTAAGCCTTCGTTGAATTCAAAGCCAACTCAGGTGAATTTAAGTTGAAAATTGTCTGCGAGTGTATTTTTACGATTTGGGGCCATACTTTCAGGTCAGTAAAGCCAAAAATACTAAAATTATTTCATCATCAAGCATGAGGAGAAAAATTATGGGGAAATTTAGCACTAATGAAACCTAAAACTAAGGGGAGACTTTTGTGCACTACAGAACATGTATTTATAGTTGGCACTTCATATTCGCGTCTAGAAAGAAGCTACTGTTTGTATATATCTTACATAACGAAGTAGCTGCTTCTGACTTCTCACCATTGGAGACTCTGGGAACCTGTGGCTGGAGATTTGTGGTCAGGTGGCTCGAAATCGTTCTCAATATGATATCCCATATCCATTAGGTTTTCATTATTCTCCACGTAATCATTCTTTCCCCCTAGCATTTCTGTTTATTATAGTTTCTGTGTATTTCGTCATCCTTTCTCCCTTATATGCTTTAAAAAGTGTAGAAACTTGAACTGGTGTACTTTATGTCCTGTTCTGTGTTAAAAAACTAATTCAGTCTGAATTCTCTTAACTTACTTCTAAAAGTGGCTGCACAATTTATAACGACTTTCAGCTATACCCCTTGTTAGTACCTTGGGCTAACACTGTTATAATTGGTCTTTTGAAAGTGTGTCACCCCCTCCCCAAACTATATGGTTAGGCATTCATTGTCTACATCGTATTTGGAATCGAGTGCAATAAGCTCAAACGGTTGTCACAAATCGCAGTTCATAAACGTATGCGGCATTTCAGGACATGCTTACGCGGTGAAGGTGTATGTATTCGAATTCCGTTTCAATTACAGAACTCTGTTAACTGATGGTTATGAACATGTATTTGGCTGTCAAGTTATGTGTATCTTTTCATGATGTAGTAGTTGTCTACGCCACTTTGATGCTTACGTATTTAAGCCTTAAGGCAGATCGTGGGTTTACAGGGTGCAGGTTTTTGAATAAAAACTAAACGTTTGAAGGTTTTAACAGGTTTGCTTACATCTTTATCAAAGCTATACCCGAGAATATAAATAAAGATGGCTCTAAATCTTTAGCAAGAAAACTTTCTCTCGTGATTAATTCTGTGATTTCCAATTCTTCTGTAATGGTATCTATGCAGTGTCATGGTTTTGTAGTAAACATGTGTTTTGAAAATATGTTCTGTATTCCACTATAATGCACTTAGAGTGGTAAACACTCTTAGATGGGTTAACCTTTGTTTGAAGTTAAGATCATTGCTGGCCAGGTCAATCATTTGGTTATTGTTGACGATAAGCTCTAAGTTTATGCCGTGAAACTAAGGTCAATGCATTCTCCAAAGATCTAATTACTGTGTACAAATCCACACCAGTTAATGAGAAGGTTAATTCCAAGCTTTATTAACACAAATACTGTGCATACTTCTGACTGATATTCTTGTTTTATTTAGATGTGTTTTATTTTATTATTACTACTATTTTCTCCAGAACTGGACGATGGAGATCAGAGTGGATATTCAAGCTACTTGGACAATCACCTATGGAGTTCTCAGTTCATGGTATTATTAAAGTTCAGGTGAGTGTGTGTAACTGTTTTTTTAGGTTGGTTTAAACTTGCGAATGTCTCTTTGTGTGTGTGTGTGTGCGGATAAGAATGTTTGTATAATTTATGTTTAATCGTGTATATTTCCGAAACTTAGTAGCATTTAGGTGTTACATGAAATATGTATGTAGACATCAAGAGAATTGTAATTCGATAAACAGTGTTAAAACTTAAACTGCAACAACAGTATGTCTTGTCCCCAGGGACTTTCATCTGGCTTACTCGACGAGCAATGTTAGCTGACATAGGAGGATTAGGTTAGAAAATCGTTAGGGGTGATTAAACCAAAACCTGGAGTTAATCCATTAAGTCTTTAACTGTTGGTTTGAGGCAGTCACGTAGGAGGCAGGTGGACTTCCTGAGTTGCTAAGAGAACCAATAGCTGGAGACATTTAGTGATATGCCTTAAAAGTGTTCTCAGTAGGCCAGATCCATTGAACCGTCATATTTTTCCATGCTATTTTTCTCCCATACATTTCCTCTCATCGTAGTTCTGTTGAATATCTTTCTCTTTTCTCTACCTTTGTGTGCTACATGAAGTATGGCAGCTTGAACTGCTGAACTTCTTGAGATATAATGTGTAACGCGGAAATGGTCTCAGTATTTCTCTTCATACGTCATTCACCTTAGAAATATCAAAATAAAAAGAATAACTTCCGTAAATATGTCTTGTGTGTCTATTTCTCCTCAAGTTTTGTGTGATACATGTTTTGATGCGTTGTAGTTTATTTGAAAGAATTCAAGTTGAAAAAGTTCAGATATAGTATTTTTGAAAGGCATAAAGGGAAGCATTCAACTTGGATAATTTTTTTGTTCTTTTATGTTCCCAGTGAACTATAGGGGCTCAGGCTAGAGACTTGAAGTTTCGGTAGCAGTGGTATTTATTTTTACAGAGGATGGGGTTGCTAGCCTCATGCCCCACCTTCCCTCTTTACCAGTCTTATTACTGGCTTAGCGAAGTAAAGGAGTACGTCGGCATAGCATCAGGGGATTTTCGCATATAGTATTTCCAAGCTGGTTGCATTGGAAAGAGCAACATGACTACTAAAAGAGGAGCCGGGTGTCATTGAGAACAGTTATAAACCATATTACCAACAGTCTGCAGCCACTAGTTGTTAGAGTCTCGAGGGCTCCAACCAGCAAGTCTACCCTCTCCCCCGCCCTTCTACGTGACTGGCTCAAACCAACAGTCAAAGACCTCGCGAGTTGATTCCAGGTTTTGATATTAACCACCTCTGATTCTTTGCTGAAAGGTGAGTCACTGTTTGAAGCTGTGAAGCTGCACTGATTAGGATGACTAAGTCACATCTTTCGTATGTCCTACCAGATCTCTCCCCGTTGAGCAGCAAGTTTGCGTCCTATATCTTACCTGAACTGTAAGTAAATACATATTCCACTTTGGAAGCATTGTGATATCTGTGTAGCTTAATTTCATCATAATACAATAGTTTTGTTTTCAGTGTACCGGCACTTTTCGCCTTCAAATATCATGTATATCAGATTCAAATTATGCAGTTCACTGAACCTAGGGAAACGAATCAAACTTAATTTCTCATACTCAACCTTCACTTGCAATTCCATGCAGCTAGCAATGAGCGACACCTCCCGGTGTACGAGGTAGGGGTACAATCTTACTACCCAAATTTCGACAGGTGGACTAGGGTTCGAATCTGTGACAGTGATTGGATGGAGTGTCGAGTGTCTAGACTAATAAGCCACAGCTCGACACTGACTAACTAACTAACAAGACAGCTACTCCGTCTTAGTGAAATATTAACGCCTTGTTATAATATATTTCCATGCTCATTTATCCACTCAATTGACTGTTTTTCTCTCTTCACACATTTATACGTACTCTATAAAATGTGACTAATTGAAACTCTGTTACACTTTTATGCAAAGCTTTATAATATATTTAATATTCAGTCAGCTTGTGTGTTTCAAGTGCTTTGTTCACACCTCTGTTTCTTTGTTGTTGTTGTTGTTGTTGCTGCTGTTTTTTGCTGATATAGACACATTTATACGAGGAGGGTAATGTTCAGTTGATTTCATCTAAGGAAGTTGATTTTGTTGTTTCTGGTTCTGTTCCGAAAGAATTCGCCAAAGAATCGTTGAAGAAGATAAAACATGCTGATTGTGCATATCAGGTAAGTTATATATATATATTTTTTCTAAACTGAGCTTTGACTAGAAATATTTAAATGATGAATGGGTTTTAGAAGGATTGTATACGAATATATTCATCGCGAAGAAAGTTTAAAACCATCGGTTTAAAAAATTCTTTTGCGTTCTCAGTAGGACATAGGGTTCTAAGCTTTGAAGTTGCGGTAGCAGTGTTTTGTGTTTTTTTACGGGCTTGTCTGTCTGTCTGTTTTCAACATAGAACTTTGCACCGATGTGCGGCAGTTCAAGTCGCCACACTCCCTCCTTGTAGCACACAAAGCATGAGAAGAAATTATAACAAATGCATAATAGAGACAGTAGACAGGGATATTAGACAAAAGGAATAGTAGTAACGAAGAACAATATAGTTTTATTAGGTGGATGCATCTACGCTAGCCATTGAGAACGATATTGAGCCATATCACCGATTGTCTCCAGCCTCCATTGGTTTCTACCGTCCCGAGGACCCCAACCAGTCAGGAAGTCTACACCTTCCTACCTAGTTCGCTTAAACTAACTGTTGTGGATTTCATTGACTGATGAAGCCATGTTTTGGTTTGACCACCACTGGCTCTTTTCCAACCTGATCCCATGTCAGCTAACACTGCCCATTGTCGAGAAAGGCGATGAATAAGCATGCGCAACACACGCCCTAAACATCTCAATCGATGTAGCTTCACAGTCTCGTCGATTGATTTCCCCTCCTTACGTAGCACCCGACCGATGCCTAACTTCAATATTTCTTACCCTATTATACCACTTCACACGGGAGATAGAACGGAGTCACCTATAACCAAAAACAGCTAGTCTTTTCATGTCTTCCACTCTCAATAGTTAGGCTTACTGCCGGTTAGTATATTGGCGAGGTTTACAATTCCGTCTTCTGCTGGGTATCGATCCCGGACCATGTGTGTGGTTGATGACCATTCTACCATTACGCCACCGACGCACGAACCATTATGTTGCAGGCTAATCAGCTTCATGTTTACCTTCTAAAATACAAATGAATTAAATCAATTCCTTTGAAATAGCAAGGGTAAATGTTTGCTCTTTTCCACTAATCAGTATTGTAAAGCTACACTTAAGTCGGAACTCATTCAATAAACTAGCGGCTAACAACCTTTTGCTCTTGAAACAGCAGGTCCTAGGTGTAAAAGCAGGTAAAACATTACATTGAGGATATTCACATACAACACTGTTTACCATTCTTACCATTACCATACTTACAAACTGTTAATGATGTCGTCTGTGATAACAACTGAGGCAAGTTTGCAGTTCACCTCAATCTGTCCATCCATAGATATAGATATTCTCTACTTCCTCCAGGTGATAACTTCTACCTGGCTGTGGTGGTCGTCGGGCTGGCATATCGCAATGACCCGACAAGCTACATTGGTTCGGTACGAATGTTCCTGCAAATTCTAACATAACAGAAAGGACGCCTGGATAGTGTTTAGACTAAAAGCAGTTACCACTGTAGTAGGTAGCTTGCATGAAGTCCTCAGGATGCTATGGACCGATGGTTGGAGATTATTGTTGATATGACACGGAGGCATTCACCCTTTGTGATTTCCTATGTATATATTTGACCTTCATGTTTTTCAATGTTACGATTCTTTCTCCCTCATATTCCTTCCTGTTTATTACAGTTCTTATGAATCTGTTTTTCTCTCTTCTGTAACTCTATGAGGTAACTGGAACTGCTGCAATTCTCTGCAGAGTTCTGTGTTGAAACTTAGTCAGTCAGTAACAATATAAGTCGTTTACACTGTGTTGAGTATCAGATGACAAAGTCGTACTGCTTACTAATACAGATGTAGCAGTGGTAAGGTATCACCTCCGGCCGACCAATAAACCAACTGTGCTGCTTTCCCGCTCTGTGAAGGGGGCTTCGGAGAGATCGGCTTCAAAAGTTGTAGATTCCTATTTCCCTTGCGGTGGTGTGTCCGTAGCCGACTGGAAAGTCTTCACATGGACACCACTTCAAAAGCCATCACAAACTCATAGTGTTCTGTCGGTTTCTAGCAGGTATCCTCTGTGCTCTCTGGTCATGTGATACTAATGTTCTTTGTGTCTCAAGTACTTCAAGGTAGAAATTGACTTCAACTGTGAGAATAGCCGGGATATAATAATCTTGCCCACATACTTCGATAAGCACACAGAAGTTTTTTGTTCACCCGATATTCACTACCATCTTAAAATTTCTCTTCGTTGTTTATTTTGAAGTGCGTCGGTGGCACAGAGGTAGAATGCTTGCCGACCACACATATGGTCCGGGGTTCGATTCCCGGTCGACGCACTCCTCACCAGTCAATGAAATCCACAAAAGTTGGTTTAAGCCATGTAGGAAGGTGTAGATTGCCTGACTTGGTTGGGGTCCTCGGGACGATAAAAAAATGGAGGCTGGAGACAATCGGTGGGTGATATGGCTCGAAATCGTTCTCAATGGCTCGTGCAGATGCATCCACTCCTTGTGACTTATAATTGCCAATGAAACTATATTGTTCTTCGTTATTACTATTCCTTTTGTCTCATATCCCTATCTACTGTCTCTATTATGCGTTTCTTCTACTTTCTTCTCTTGCTTTGTGTGCTACAAGGAGGGAGTGTGGCGACTTGAACTGGTGCACATCGGTGCAAAGTTCTATGTTGAAAATAGACAGACAGACAGCTTATTTTGAAAGTTAACATGAACGATTTTCGCTGTTCGATAAGGTATTCAGAACAAAATATTTAGAGCGAACAACTGTTTTCGATAAATTCTTTTTCAGGTTCTACAATTATAAATCCATTAATTTAAGCATACAATAGCCAGCCAGTAAAGGCAAATTAGAATCATATCAGAAAGTGTATTGTGGAACAAGTATAGGTAAGATGGGATGGAACAATAGTCAGATAGTTTTTTAATATGCATGGTCAATGAGAACATGGGACAAAATCAGATGAAGTAATTTAATTTAATGATGTGTGTGTATACATATAAATATAGTCAACAGAAAAATACAGGTTTCGAGAGTGAGTGTAATCAAGGTGTGTGAGAGACAATATGAAAATAAACCAACGAATGAGGCGGTCTAGACATAAGTTCAAGGTTGAAAATAACGACAATAAGAATGATTATAAAATAGCAATAACGATGATATGGTGTAAAATTACAAGTAGTATTGGTGAATGATTGTCAAATAATAATAATGAATATAATGAAGTGGAATGAACAGGATTTTGTAAATACGATAACAAGTTAGAAAAGCACTACTTAAACCAAAGGTAATAAAATCATACGAAAGGTCATGAAATCATAAAAATCGAAAGTGAACGTTTGTCAATGAAACAGAGGAACAGAAGAAGGACAAAGGGAAAGAAAATTGTGATAGGAATTCATATTGTTAATGTTTATGGAGGATTTGCTGGCTTTATTGCAGGCCAAGGTAAACATAGAGGTGGTCTTCTGGTATTAATTGCAACCGCTTCAGCTACTGATAGAAGACGTAGTCGAGCTCCTCTATGTAAATTACTAAGAACGCGGTAAATAACTGAGAACGCCTGGTCAAGTTTTATCGGGTGTCCAGTATCTCCCAAGTGGTCTAAGACCGCACTATTTACGCATTTGGTTACCCCTTTACTCAACCATACAGGTACATGTTCACGCGCGCGCATGGATAAAGCCCTCTAAGTACGGCCAACGTAACTAGCTCCATATGAGCAGTTGAATTCATAGATACACATTGATAAGGCCATCTTTGGTAATTTATCCTTGATTTGTTGTGTGAGTACTGGTTTAGTTGAGAAGCTGAGTAGCAGTTTAGCTGCAGGAAATGTTCTCTCTACTGCTCTCTACTTCATCTGATTTTGTCCCATGTTCTCATTGACCATGCGTTTTAAAAAAACTAACTGACTATCGTTCCATCCCATCTTACCTTTACTTGTTCCACAATACACTTTCTGATATGATTCTAATTTGCCTTTATTGGCTATTGTATGCTTAAATTAATGGATTTATAATTGTAGAGCCTGAAGAAGAATTTACCGAAAACAATTGTTCGCTCTAAATATTTTGTTCTGAATAAATTATGGGAATATTCAATTTACGATAAGGTATTCTTTCATTTTTGACAATTAAAGCTAATATTAGATGGTTAGAGGCAATCGGCAACCTGACTCATAGAATTTAGTCTGCACCAAAGAAAGAACTAGACACATCACACTAGTGTCATACTAGTGTCCAGTCAAATTGAATCATTCAAGGAAATATTGAGAAGCCAGCTAACTTATTCTCATTGGGTGGTTAGTGGGAATGTGTATTGTAATAATCACTTCAGTCTGTGTACTTCTAGTTTGTGGGTTCACTTTTTACAGTATGTATACAAGTACCAACTGAATCAATAAATAGGTGATTATTGTGATGACTACTGTGTTCTATCATTCTGAAGGAGTGACATCTGGCTGTCATATTGTTATATCTGATCTTGATATCTACGAAACCGTGTAACCCATTAGTGGTAAAGTCTCCGATCACGACACTGGGGATGACACCAGTCAAAATTTCCAAATGGACGTCAGTTCTTTTGACGTTACTAATATGCTTTGCTGATCAATACCGGTAAGCAGGGAACAGTTTCGCCCAGGGTCAGGTGGTCTAAGCAATCAAAAAATTGGATGGACGTTCCTCTCGTTTGGAGCCGTTTGCATTAGGAGTATGGCGAGTGTAATTCATCTGAAAAAAAAAATTGAATTTGATTCTACGTTCTTTTGTGTTCATTAAATATCTGTAAGCCGCCGCCCCCATAGTGTGAAAATAGGCTATCAGATGACAGTGTAGTCAGTCAACTGTCTAAAGGAAATCTTGAATTTTAGTACAATTGATTCCATTTAACGGAGACTTCAAGAAAGAAAAATATTGATTTCATTTAGATATTGTCTAGAAGGACAACGAAAGCCTCGCGAAGCAACAACCCAGTTCAGAGAACACCTGAGCTAAAAGTTTCCAATATTTCTCCAATTAACTTCCTACTGTTATTGTCATCTCTGTTGGAATTTTGGTGTTTTTACATGCTATCTGCATGCTTGATAAATCCTTTGACTACAGAAACTTGCGTTCCATGTCCTGTATTAAACGGTATAGTAGGGTAAGCAATATTAAGGTTAGACGTATAGTGCTAGGTAAGGATGGGTAATGAATCGCTGAGGTTGTGAAACTGTCTCGGTTGAGATGTGGTTAGGCTACGTGTTGTTACACATGCGTCGTCACAACCTTCCTCTTTTCGGCGATTTCATTTTCAAAAGCAACTGTACAATCGCATTCAAAGGCTCTTGTAATCTATATTCACACCTCCTAACTCCCATCTCAAGTTGAAAATTATTATTTCAATTTTTGTCTCCATGCTCATTTTCGCACACTTGTCATCCGTTCTAATCCCGTGTAATTTTGTTTCTAAGCCTCTCGTAAAAACCATATCTAGTTGAAAATAATTATCACCTTTTATTCGCCGTCTTAATTATGTGGAATCAAACAAGAATTGTATCCATGTAAAATTATGTATTTAAATGCAATTGTACAGCTGCTTTTGAAAATGAAATCGCCGAAAAGATCGCCATCTTTGCTGAACTTCGTGTTCCCTTCTTTCTAATGTCCCTTTATGGGTGTTTTCCACAACCTTCCTCGTCCAGCGATCTTAATCGATTCATAAATTAGGTTAGCAAAGAGTTTAGGAAGAGTGGTCAAATCAAAACCTGGACTCAAACCATGATGTATTCGACTGTTAGTTTCAGTTAGCGCTACTTAAGAAGGTATGGTAGGGGTCCTGGAGACTATTAGTGGTGTGGCTCGAAATTGTTGTCAATAGCGCAAATGCATTCACGCTTTTGTAATCTCTCAGATTCATTAGGCCTCATAATAACAGTCCTTTTGAATCTCTTTTTTCTACCTTTGCGTGTGTGTAGTGTGTGTGTCAACTTGATCTGGTGTAGTTCTGCGCAAAGTTTCAGTGTTGAAATTCATCGGGGTCAGAGTTACACCCGCCTGCTCATTCTATTTTCGATATCTTCATTTTGAAGAAGTGATTGCTTATCACTTTCTTGTTTGTTTGGTGTTTTTTCTCTTTCTTTTCTTACTAGGTTGGTGTTGCAGAGAATTTCAAAACAATGTCAGATACAACATTCAAAGCACTTCGCCGACAACTTCCACTGACTCGTTCCAAACTCGATTGGAATAAGATTATCACATATCAGATAGGTAGTGAACTAGCAAAAGCACCACAGAATTAATCGCGAAATTCCACTTAGAAGAATACTCATTCGGGAGTGTGTTTGTGTGTGTGTGTGTGAGTATGGATCCAAATTGAATATATGATCAGCATAAAACGCCGAAATTTTATTGATCTTATTTTAAATTCATTTGATGTGTATTGTATAATAAAACGTGTCAAAAAACTAATATCAACAATATTTTTTTTACTGAGCTTAAATTATTCGTTACTGCCTTGTTTCTTTTACCGCCCGACCGACTTCAGGGAGGGGTAAGGGAGGGAAGACAAGTCGAGACGCAAAAGTGAAGCGCAAGGCAGTAGTGCTATTGATTCACAATCGGAATTTTGTTGTTTTGGTTTTCTTTTTGCACGCCGCGCATTGTTTTGCTTTTGTTTTACAAATTAATTAATTTCTCAGTGATTTATATCGGGAACATACCATATATCTTTGTTTTTACTTTTTTTGTCTTGTTAATTTTGCCCATCCTCTGTCACTTTACCTTCTTTTTTTCGTTTTTCTACACACAAAACATGGCTGTTCTCTTTTGTAATTTTATGTTTTTACTTTGTGGTAGATTTATACATGCATACATACAGTATATAATAATAATAGTATATTCTCATTTCTTACATGAGGGACGCCAGTTTACAGGCATCATCAATATGATAAATTACAAATACGATTAGTAAGCATATTTAATAAAAGTAATTTAATAAAATACATTTTTTCCCACCTGTGTAGAACACACCAATTGTACAGGCATGGATAAGTATTTTTTAAATTACATAAATTTGGTTCATGGTAAAATTATAAGGTTGCAGTCATTTTGTCTATGGGAACAATATGATAACTAGTCATTCAATGGAGCACATCAAGAAATATAGAAATATTGTCTTCGCATTAACAAAAAAAACCCAAGTATGTTTTGGATGGATTACAAATACTTGGGAAAAAAGTAAAGCTTGAAGTAATTCCTCCATATAACTTTGGTGTGTACGGCATCGAGTCTTATTCTTGATTTATATCCAAATTTGATAATAATTTAAAATAAGTAATCCACTTGTATACTTTTGTCAGCATTTTCTTCGTAACATCACAAGTGAATAGTACTCAAGGTAGGCTAATAATAATGACAGTCTGTATTTTCTTATAAACGGGTGTTTTCAAGAAATGCAAGCTATTTTGCAGACAAGATCAGTTATGTTGTAAGTTACAATCGTGAAGTATTATAAATCAATACTTTTTTATTGGTATAAAGGTATATTTCACAACTGTAATCCAGGTTGCGTCGTTGGTGAAGGCAATGCGCAATTCACGAGGGAATTGTAAGATACGGGACCAATAATGTTTGCAGATCATTTGTCATTGTAAATGGGCAAATATCTACATTTTTCATTCTCATTCAAAAAGTAAAATGGAAGCTGAAATGGTGAGAGACAAAAGAAGACAAACAACAACAACGCAAAAGAAAGCAAGTGGAGTACTTAGGGAGTGATATATAGATATAGTTATCATGATTTCTTCAATGTTGAATGGTTCATTTATGTATGGTGTGTATGTATTCTCAGGTAACTCTAAACAGTAGGAACCCAAAGCGAAACGACCTACGAACGCACAAACGACCTTGTTATGGACAACTTCGACCAATCAGAAGGCTCAAAAAAACGGCACATAATTGTAAAAAATCGTTTATATAAAAGTAAAGCAAAGGATAAAGTTTGTGTATATGGTGCAAAAAAAGCTCCCAGTTTCTCTCATAGGAGTCTTTATACTCATGTTAAACCCACTTCTGTACATAAACTCATCCAGATAACTGTATATCATTGGATTTCTTGATCCGTTCAGGAATCTAATACTTTTTTTTCAGATGACTCGAGAAACTTTCGATGCAATTAGTATGAGTTCCATCCAAAGGATTGCGAAAACCGTCTGTGTGATTGACTACATGATGAATATACCCGAGATTCGACAATTGACCATAACTACTCCATTCGGCTGTGTGAATAGTGGTCCCGGGCAGCACTAAGCGCTGGATAATAGTCAATAATACACCAGCACTGAGATTATGAATCGCAGTAGAGGTGTAGAGCATCCATAATTAATTCTAGAAACAACAGAGTCACCTGATTGGTTTCTCAAGGTCGTTTGTGCGTTCGTAGGTCGTTTCGGTATGGGTTCCTATTGTTTAGAGTTGCCTATTCTCAGTGTGAGTAATATTTTGGTTTTTGTTTTGTGGTTGCACTCGTTATGTAATCATCACTATAGTCGTCATTGTTGTTGTTATTGTTGGTGTTAGCTGTAGTGAGAGAGATGTAATCATCATCTTTGTTATGACTCCCACCTAATTCATTCACTAATTGACTCACTCACTTACCTAGTCACTCATTAGCACAGATGAGAATTCAATCTGTATCCATTGTGGCTTACTTGAACTGTAGTATCCAGACCTCTACTGTCTCTGTCTGTGTCACTTCCTCTCTAGCCTTTTACGCATATAGATTAAGCAAAGAAGAAAATTGTAAAAAACAAATCCAAGAGAAAAGAGAGAAAGTTTGAGCTTCACTCATGAGACTACTCTATCGTGTGTGTGTGTGTGTACGTGTTTCTCCATTTCCAAATATAAGTACATTCCAATTATCTCATTGTATTCTATAGTTTAGTTTGATTTTACGAGTTGATCACGGATTGATATCAGTTAGAGAAACATTGAAAACAAGGGAGTACTGGACAGCTGCTGTTTCATCCTAGTTTGGGAATCATCGGGAGTACGCCCCCACCACAGGAGGTTCGAACCCAGCACCTTCCGGTTACAAGGCGAGCTGGCTCGTATACCATTCACCCACTAGAGCCTGACTCAATGGCCAGTCAGTCCATGAATTCTAACTTCTGTCAATTCGTGATTTAGTGCGACCACCACCCATTGTCGTAGGTGGGACATCCATCCTCATATGTGACATCTGGATGAACCTCACTGATCACGACTTCTCATTAGTACTAACTCCAGGAAACTCCATCCTGTAAGAAGTCACTAGCGAGCAGTATCAGATTAATGTTCTATAGTTTGGTTTGTAAGGGTTTGATGATATTAAAATGTAATTTCGAGTTTGATTATATGAACAGACTTCAGCTGGGGAATCATTTCAAACCACTAGTACTGGAGTACTGATAAACTGGTGTTTCGTCTTTGTTTGCACGACTCTTCAGCAGTACACATGCATGAATCCATTAAGGAGCCAATAGCCCATCACAGTTGTAACTTCTATCAACACAGTCCAGCAATTTGGATGTGGGGACAAATAAATACTGTCTGGCAGTGACGCTGGTTATATTACGAATTGGCAAAAGTTAGAATCGATTCAGTCCCCAGTGGTTGGCTGATTAACGAGTTCACCTTGTAACCTGAAGGTTTCGGGTTTGATCACCGGTGCGCGTAGGGTTAGCCGGTGTATACACTGCTGGAGAGTTAAGCACAAACAAGGATGAAACAACTAACAGATGTTAGTTCGTGATCAAATTTGAAATCAGTTAAATCCCTGGAAAGCAGCACATGAAATGTTCAAATATTATATACAGTGAAAAACGGAAACTAAATTGGTGTGCTGTTCAGTAATATATATATATATATATATGATAGAGAAGATTTGTAGCTCAGGTGGATGATTTTGATGTGTTTGTGTTCTCTGAGCTGGATAGTTAATTTGCGAAGCTTTCATTGCCCCACTACTAGGCAACATCTTTAGCTCATACTTGAATTTGTTGAAGTCAGCTTTAAGATTTCTCCACGTATTTATCAGTCATTTCTCCTGGTGGGTGACCTTGAACGTGATTGGTTGTTTTGTTTGTTTTCACACTTTCTAGGCTACTTGTATTGGAAGTGATTGTTTCCTTGACTTGAACTTTGACTCTTTGTGTGTGAGATTTCCTTCTTATCGCTTGGCAAATTTTGTCTATCTCGATGTGTCTATTGATTGATGATTCACTGGAATACCAGTCTTCTAAAAATTCTCTAACATTCTTGGTGTTTCTTCTGTCTGTCTAATATTTTAACGTTGGTTGTCCCAGTCGAATTGATGTCCGTAGTTGTCTGTATGCAGCGATATGAGCGAGAGAGTGGATATCATGTCTTTTGACGGCTAGCTTATGTTCGTGGATACGAAGACGAAGGGGATGTCCACTTTGGCCAATGTACTATTTTTCGCAGTTGTTACAATTTATTTTGTAGATGATGTTGGTTTTATCTTCTTTCGTTGTTGAGTCTTTTGGTTGAAATAGAGCCAGCTGAGTGAAGTGATTTTGTTGGTTTGTGTGCGACGTCAATTCCTAAAGGTTTGAAGAGTCTTCCAATGATTTCTGAGGTGTCCTTAATATATGGTAGGGCGATTTTCTACATACATACTGAAAGTCACGGACATCAATTTGACTGGGACAACCAACGTTGAAATATTAGACAGAGGAAACACCAAGAATGCTAGAGAATTTTTAGAAGCCTGCCTGGTATTCCAGTGCATCATCAATCATCGAGATAGGCAAAATTTACCAATCGATAAGAAGGAAAGCTCATACACAAAGTTCAAGTTAAGGAAACAATCACTTCCAATACAAGTAGCCTAGAAGATGTGAAAACACACAAAAACAACCAATCACATTCAAGATCACCCACCAGGAGAGATGACTAATAAACTCGTGGAGAAATCTAAAAGCTGACTTCAACAAATTGAAGTATGCGCTGAAGATGTTGCCTAGTAGTGGGGCAATGAAAGCTTCGCAAATTAACTATCCAGCTCAGAGAACACAAACACATCAAAAACAGTTATATATGTATATTCGACACCTAGACTTGCTTAAAACAGAGAAGGTTACAGCGTTGAAATCCTTTTACGTGTTTTTCTTAGCGTAGATTCTCCTCACAGACATAATGTGCACATAGATATTTGTTTAGAGAATGAAAAGGGAACAAGATAGTGGTGAAGGTTTTTTTGCGTACATGATTAACAATACATCAATCGATGTATCTTAGTTTATGGAGACTAGCAGTGGGATCCAAGTTGCTCATTTCCTCTTATTTGGGAATCGTCAGCTAGATATGTACCTGCATCCTACTTAGTGAGTGGTGGTGCCCACCCTGAGACTCGAGCCCTGAACCCATCACTTCAAATGCCAAAACGTTACCCATTGGGTCAGGAGAGCCACCTGCTCTACAATGGATATCAGGTTAATTTTGCGTTTCCCATTGATTATGTTGGAAGCAAAAGCTCGATCTCTGTCGACACATTAATTAACAGGAGATACAAGTTAACTTTAAAAAGGCATAATAACTGATGATATTCGTTGTACAGCATTTAACTCTCATGGCTCAGTGGGTAGCGCTTCAACATTTGAAACGATGGGTTCTGAGGAGTTTGAGTCCCAGCGTAGA